ACACACACACACACACACACACACACACACACACACACACACACACACACACACACACACACACACACAACCTTTTCTTTCTATGAATCATCTCTGAAAATTAATAGTCACTAGAAAAATGAGAGTTAAATTGTACATTATGCTCATGTGATATTTATGAAACATTTATCTTCTGTTTTTTAGCAGGCAATTTTTTGTTAGAAGAGAACATGGCAGACGGTAAATTTTATGCCTCGTCTACTGTGTGCACTAAATAGTGGTACAAAACGACCGTCTACTATCTAGTGTTGACTGGATTGCCGTAAATTGAGAGTTTGTGGCGGTTGCAACGGGTACAATACCTTACGTCGTAGATCGTCCACGCAGGGACATAAAAAACTTTTTTGTTAGCTGTTGAAGAAGACCGTATTAGTAGTACGTGAAGAAATAAATCTGTCTTTCTGCACTCAAGTAGATCGCGTCGTCTTTAAATTTTTGTTTTGTTTTACGTTAACTAATACGGACAGAGAGGTTAAATTCTAAATAAAGATATGTATATTAAAAAAGCCTCACTATAAGAAGATTCAGTTGAAAAAGAATTCACGTATTATTTTTAATACTCTATCTTTTTTATATTATATTATAAAAGTTTCTTTTCTAATATTAGCATTAATATATTATTATCTTCAGCTCTAAATTACGTTAAAAAATTCTAAAAATGTACAGGTATATCTAGTAATAAAAATAAATTTACACCAATTTATGTAATAAAAATTATAAAAAGGTATTTATTATATAGATAATTCTAGGTTCTTCCATTGTATTTATAAATTTCGGTATGTTTAGTAATGCATTCGATATTTATTGTTTGTAAAATATTATTACATTATTATGATATATGTTCAGGTATTTTATTAATTATGCATTTATTTACTGAATATATTGTTTGTTAAAATAATATGTTCATTTATAAGTGGAAAGAACTAAACATGTTTTTTTACCAAGCTTTTTCATATTGACGTACATATCAAATTGTTCATCACAATTCTAAATTAAAAGCAAATAATTTATACAATGGATGTGATCACTTTTACAAGTCATAGCATTTATGCAGACGATTTAAAGAGTTGATAACGCGAATAAATTAGTTCATCGAATTACATGATTGTTTACCGATATTTCCGCAAGTAATATGTAAATGGATGATGTTGTGGGTATATTAACGATGCAAATGCTTTTATGCGAAAACGACGTTTATTTGCGGCTACGTTGTTCTCTCGTAGCAAAAAGTACCGGATGCCAGTACCGGATGCCAGATAACAAAAACTTTTCGATTTAAAGCGAATTTTAGATGCGAGAACAGGAGTGGCGAGATAATAACGCGGCCCTTCCTGATGGTTATTCCCAACCACGCGGAAATGCAAATGCATACATGAAATCGCGTCCGGATAAGGTGTCGCACGGTTACAAGAGAAATAGCGCTCCGGAGTGTCACATATATTATCCATCGCATGGCACTCCGCGGAAATGGATTATCAATGAACGATATAAGATCCAATTTTTGATATTACGACGTGATAAATTCGTTTGGTTGCGATGTCGCGTGTCGGTTTTCCGGATAAGAAATTTATTTCTGCTTATCGTAAAATTTTCGTTTAGCACAGTGGTTTTCATGTGCGACTTCAAGAATGGTTTTGCGAATTTTATAGCCTTTTACTTTAATATTAACAAATAATTTGCTGCCTTGGTTTAGGTCCAGAAATAATATTTTATACATCTCTCTTACATGTTTTTTTTTGGGGGGGGGGAGGTACAATTTATAACGTCAGTCTATTTTGTGCTAAAAAGAGCGAGAGAAGGATTTAACTGGGAATTTATCGAGTATTTGCTTTTGAATAGAAATAATCGGCTATATGCATGTCGATCATAGTTTTACACTAAAAATTTCCGTCGTTAGTGCATGGAATTGGAATGTTCAGGCCAGAATTCAATCTGCTGTTGAGCCTCTTCTATCCTCTTTATGTTTATTCCAATAGTCTCATACGACCGGTATTATTTCTATACGAGTTTATGTGCCGTTCCAAGAGAGTACTTACGTATTATGCATAGGTACTATATGCTTGTATTCAGTCGAGGAAAAAATATATAGAGAGAAAGAGAGAGATAGAAAACAATATAGTCGCCATTAACGTAAACATAAACATTGGAGCAAACGCTGTTGTGTTTCACATTTCCACCTTTTTCTCTATAAATGTAATATTACAACCTTCAAATAAATATCATATCATTATAAACTT